TGTTGCACAACCTAGCCAAACACGCTAGAGGGGCAGCTTTTTGTAGTTGTTCTTGTGGGGATGAGATCCTTTGGAGAGGACTGGGTATCCCAGGGAGGGCTGTGAAACTAGCAAATTCAGCAAAGCCTGGAGATACAAGAGCTCAAGTCCTTACAGGAACTCTGTTGTTGTTTGTTGTTCCTCTTGGAAGGAGTTAGATATCAATGAGAGGGGTGGTAACAGTAGCAGGTGTCGATCAGTCACTCAGTCTGTATAGGGATAGGACTGGTGGATCGTTCGAAGAAGGAGGAGCGACAATGGGATTCTTCGGCCGTCAGGAGCTTAGTTAGAAACAACAATGACGAATGGGATTGTTTTCTGTATGTGCTGTGGAAGGCCGGAGAACTTCTTCTTGTGGTCAATTCTTGGGATCAGTTCCAACAGGACTCGGGAGAAAACACTAGTGGCCGGTGAGAAAGTAAGAATACAGGTGTAATCTCTTCTCGGTGGTCACTGCAGTTATCTCGTGAAGTCCTGCTTGATGATGGTAGGCTTCGACGGAGGAAGAGGTACGTTCGTGGGAAGATTGATCGATTCAGGAGAGCGGTCTTGGATTCGCGGAAGAGGACGTTCGCGGAGAGGTAGTTCGCGGGAGAGGTACGTTGCGGGAAGAGGTACGTCGTGGGAAGAGTACGTTCGCGGGAAGAGGTACGTGTCAGTCGCGGGAGTCTTGGATCGATTCGGAAGGTAGATTCGATTCAGAGGATTCGATTCGAATCAACGTCACCGGTTGCCTTAGGGTTGAGGTTAACCGGGCCTGTTGTGGAGGAAAAGGATCGATCGTTCGAAAAAGAGGATCGACAATGGGATTTCGATGGCCGTCAGGAGCGTAGCTGAGAAAACAACAAATAGATATGGGAATTGTTTTCTGTGCTGTGCTGGGGAAGACCGGAGACTTCTTCTTGTGTTCAATTTCTTCCAACTTGGTCGTCGGCGGTCGAGAAGAGAAAACCCGCCCGATCTCGTAGGATTTCAGTTGGGATGGCTTTCGAATCTGAACCGGAGAAGGCCGCTTTGATAGTCGCTTGATAGGGGAGGTGCGCAGGTGATAGGAGGTATCGATCCTGTCGACTGGAGGGACTTGAATGAGGATAAAGAGAGGAAAAGGGAGTGTGTTTCCTGTGATGACGTTGAGCGGATTCCTATAGTAAAACAGTACTCTTCAACAAGATAACAGAAAACAGGCTTCCGGAGGTCCTTTCGCTTCGTTTCAATGCTTCTAATGGTGCTAATAGGTAGTGTAATGGTATAGGTATGACCGATTGGTTGTGTTTGTTGCTATTAGTGTTGTTGTTCTTGTAGTGACAGATCCAGAGGGGAAGCGCTTCGGTTTTCGGCTTCCCTTGAAAAAGTTCATACTGATTTAGTATAGGGAAGCCTTGCCAAAAAATGTTTTGTCTAGTCCCCTTTGAAAACCCCCAAAATTAAGTCGTGAGGAAACCTCACGGATTGGCGTGCAACTGATGTAACTGGCGTAGAACATTGGAGGACGACTAACGTGGTCGTCATTTCAACTAGCTTTGTATTGTAAACCACTCTACAGAGACAACAGAGCAACGGCAACACTGTTTACAATGAGTTACACTTAGTTTTCAAGCTTTTGCAGCAATTGAATCGCTGCAGCGGCACCTGCCTCCCCCCACCTCTTTTCCAACAGCTGAGCTCTGTGAGATTCGTTCAAGTCAGTCAAACAAGATGATGATCCAAGTCAGTCAAACAAGATGGCATTGCTTCTTTGAATCAAGCTCTAGAGCAATACAATTAATTTGGTGTTAGTAGAATTTTATTGATTACTCTGTAGTAGATAAAAGCTACTTGTAACTCAGTCATTGATAGCTAGCTAGCTAGTAGCTATATCAGCACCAGCAGCACCATCAGCAGCACCAGCATGTAGTATTGGTACATGAGTCGAGTCCTCAGTCAACATGCCATGGAGATTCTTAATAACAAGGCTTTTAACTTTTAACTTTTAATATTTTTACCGAAAAGTAAAATTTCATTTTTGTACAGGCTGGTTTCTCTGCGTCCTTGCACAAAAGACACACCTGGTACAATTGCATTAAGTCTTTGAGTCTCTAACGGGTTAAATTTTGGCTACTTGTTAAATACTTAAGAACACTAGGTTCTTCAAAGGACTTAACAACTTCAACTGACGTGGAAGGTGCCATTCTCCTTTAGGAGCACTGCACCAGGGAATGGCACCAAATTCACGCGACTCGCCAGCAGCCATACCACATACCAGTATCGAAGTATCGAACGTGAGGCAAAGCTCTGCGACCCACTCCTCCTGTGCATACCGGTATCGTAGGTTCTCCAACAGCGGAGCTCTGAAGCTCGGCAGCAAGGACATGAGCTAGCTAGAGTAGTAGTAAATATTGTAGAAACTGCTCAGTTGCAAAAAGGCCGAGTGGAGAGATCTACATGTACTGTACATCAAACCAACACCACAATGTCCACTACTAGTGCTGGTACAACGCCGTCTTTTGCTGACGATTTATTGATGCTGCATCGAAAAGATATTTGGGTCGACACAATATTTCAATTCTTGGGAATGGGTCAGTATGCCTTTGTGGGAGCTGTCAACAAGAGAACGAATCATCTGTACAGGGAATTCTGCAGGACAGTGGAAGATCCTCCAAAGGTGCTTCAACTCATCACCAAGACAGCACGGTATGTGACCAATGTGAACACATACTATAGCGCTGCATTCTGCAATGTCTCCTGTGCCAAATATTGGTACACTGGTGATCCTAATTACAAGTCTCCAAAAAGCCAGGATGTTTGCACGGCCATTGTCAAGGCTGGAGGGAGCCCAGAAGTTGTCCAGTGGGCATACAACGAGCAGGGTTTTCCATGGACTGCAAAGACAAGTGCGACTGCTGCAGAAGGTGGGCACTTGGAATTGTTGAAATGGGCCCACAAAAAAGAGCTTCCCTGGGATGAAAAAGCATGCTGTGCTGCTGCCAAAAATGGTTATTTGGAGACTCTCATTTGGCTCCGTCAACATGGTTGTCCATGGGATCAAGGCACATGCCACATGGCTGCTCAGAGTGGCCATTTTCAGGTTGTGAATTGGGCCCATGAGCATGGATGCCCTTGGGATGCCATGACATGTTGGCTTGCTGCTGTCAGTGGTCATTTTGAGATTCTGAAGTGGGCACGCACCAAAGAAGGATGTCCCTGGGATTGGCGGACCGCAGATGCTATTGCCAAAAAGGGTTGTTTGGAAACACTAAAATGGGCACATGAGAATGGATGCCTATGGACTGCTGCCACTTGCACTGCTGCTGCAGTTGGAGGCCATTTTAAAATGCTGAAATGGGTCCGTGAAAATGAATGTCCTTGGACAGCTGCAACCAGTTCTGGTGCTGCAAAAGGAGGTCATTTCAAAATTCTCAAGTGGGCTTATGAGAATGGATGCCCTTTGGATGCAATGACTTGTCAATATGCTGCTAAATTTGGTCATTTGGAAATACTGAAATGGGCTCGTGAGCAGGGATGCCCATGGAATTCTTCCGCATGCCATGCTGCTGCAGATCAAGGTCATCTTGAAGTACTGATATGGGCTCATGACCATGGATGCCCTTGGGATCCCGAGACTTGTGAAGCAGCAACTGAAGATGGCCACTTTGCTATTCTCCAGTGGCTTCATGGAAATGGGTGCCCTTGGGACATCATGACATCTCAAGCTGCTGCAAATGGTGGCCATTTTGAAATGCTCAAATGGGCTCGTGAACATGGATGCCCATGGGATGCAAGGACATGCCAAGCTGCTGCAAGAAATGGCCATTTTGAAATACTGAAATGGGCTCATGAGAATGGATGCCCTTGGGATGAAAGGACATGTGAAGCTGCTGCAAAAGGTGATCAATTTGACATCCTGAAATGGGCACATGAAAAGGCTGCCCATGGGATTCAAAGACATGCTCTGCTGCTGCTAGACTTGGTCATTATGAAGTACTAAAATGGGCCCATGCCAATGGGTGCCCAGAGTAAAGGTACAGATTTTGCACCTATATTTTCAATCGCCTGTCGCACCCAAAAAATCGCGCCCACCAGCAAAACACATTTTGTGTCTGGAGAGGTTGCAAGTGGATGCAGACTACACTATTTCGGCTCACTTTTTGTACATCCATGGGAAACTTCTTTGGACACAACTCCACGATGAGCACGCCATCACCTAAACACAGAGCAAACACTAGCAATCATTTGGGTTTATTCCTGTATAGAGATAGAAGATAGCTCCAGCCCAAATTCCTTGGCTGTTCGATCACACTTTCGAAGTGTGTTCAATCTATCGTGGCAATGGGATTAGACCACCGCTGTGTGCTCTCGTTGCCGTTCTTTTCTTTGCGATGACCACCAGGGCTACAGGAAGGGCTAGTAAGAAGAAAGCCGAAGTCGAGGAAGCCGTCGGAAATGCAGGAATGATGTTGAAACTTGCACGAAAGAGCGGAGTGATGACAGCCCAAGACGCCCTCCGTCTCGCTGGCGTATCCACTGAAGACCGGCAGAACAGAGCCCTGCAACGACGGGTCCTTCGGGTGCGCGACAAGCTAGAGGATCCTCAGCGGAAGCAGCTGTTCGAAGCCGAGAAGGAGGTATCCTCGGAAGAAGAAGACGAGGAGGGAGATGAAGAATTTTTTTCTCAGGGAAGCGCAATTCCCATCTTGCCAGCAATTCCGGGCAAGATGCGCAAGACATGCAAGCAAGCCGCAGGTCAGCGGAAAGCAGATATCCAACTACGAGACTTGAGAGCCAAGCTTTTTTTGGAAGCAGTCGAAGCTGTGAGGAAAGAGAATGAAAAAGAAGACAGAGCGATTGCTGAAGGATGTTGCTACAAGAAGAAATCTGCAGAGTCGATCTGTGGAGAGATCAACGGCAGGCAAATAGCTCAGACTCACAAGATCAAGATTGTTGCACGCTCCGTTCGCAATGCTGTCCAGGAGAATCGAGTTGATCTGAAAAAGAGAGGTGGTCCTGGGAGGATGCCGGAAGAATATTTCAAAGCTCTCTGCGACGCAGTCAAGTCTTACTCGCTCCTCTCAGTCCAAGATGGCAAGCAAGTGAAGAATCTACGGCCACAGCTTACGAAGATGGTCAATACCTGTGTCAACAAGCTCGAGGGCATGAACAGCCGTCGAGGAAGAGGACTATTTGACAGGATTCAGGCAGCAACAGCCGGAGAGCTTGAGATTGGCAAGCCAAATAGAGTTGAGCAGCGCCGCAGCCAATACTCTACCTATGCCAACATCAATCAGTGGTACACGAACCTCAAGATTTATCTGATTGATCTTGGGTTTGCTACGCCATCCGAGGATGGAACTGGCTCCGAGCTTCAGTTTGTCAGTCCTGATCAAGCTTCTCGTATTGCCAATTTAGATGAGTCTTGCCTCACACTCGATGACACCGAGAACGGCAAGGGTGGAAGACCCGCCATGGGCTTCTATAGTCCTCGAGTTTCATCTGGTCCGACGCATGGTGCCCACAAAAGTTCATGGCGTTGCACTCTTGTTGCTGGCTGCTTTGCGTCCGGAGAGCCATTCCCTCCACACTTTCAGCTCCCAACTGATGCCAAGGACCCCGACAATGAAGGGATCTATTCTGAATTCATCGAAGACATGCTGGAAACAAGAGCACAATACTTGGGGTCGACGGTAACAAGTCGATCTGCTACCTATGGGGTGAATGAGAAAGGCAGTATGACGAAGAAAGAGTTTGGGGAATACATTTTAAAGAATTTCCTTCCTCTTGTGGCTGAAGGCTGCGCTGATGTTCCCGCCAAAAGAGTCATTCTTCTGGTTGACGGAGGTCCTGGCAGAACCAACGAGGAAATGCTAGCTCAGTTACGGATGCGTGGTGTCTATCTATTTCCTTCCGGTCCACCAAACACCACCCACATCCTTCAAGTAAGTGTATATGCAAGGAGGCAACTCATTTCCATTATCTGTTGCATCTAACACCAACCTATTTTATTGCTACGTAAGATCTTGGACATGCTGTTTGCCCATTTTAAGACCCGATACTTTGAAAATCTGGAGGACGTATGGCAATACCGGCAGAATAATTATCTCACTGCATCCACCATCACTCGGAATGACATTGGATTGCTCTTCTTTGGGAGCCGTCACAGCCGAAAGAGACGGGACGACCCACATCTTCCACTGCTACGGAACAGCTTTGAAGAAGCTTTCGAACCTGGAAGAGTCCGTCATTGTTGGAGCACCAAGCTTGGCCTCTACCCTCACTTTACACGAGCCGCTTTGAAGAGCAAACACGTCCGGCATGAGCTGATTGTTGAGGTCCATGGTGGCGCCGCAGACACGGAGGCAGATCCAGAGGCCCAGCACCTTCGTGATTTGAACTCCCTCAATCGAAAGTCCTGTGACATCTTGGATGCTGGAGGATACAACGGATCGATCTTCAGACTCCAGTTGAGCGAATTCAGCAATGAAGAAAGGAACAAGGCGATTACACAACC